TTGAAAAAAAAAAAAAAAAAAAAAAAGAAAAAGAAGACATTCGTGAAATGTTTTTTACTATTCCCCTTTTATATTTTCGATAAAATCGACGGAAATTCCCTGTAATTTATTCTGTTTCTTCTTTCCTTGCTTTTTTCAAAGTTTCCATCGATGAATGGAAATTTAATCGATACAGTTCCTTTTATTCCAATTAAATCTCACATCAAATAATACGAATCCAGACACGCTTTCTTAACACGAAAGAAACAATCAGACCTCATCGTTGCATTCACTTTCGCGACACCGCGTCGATCATTTTGTCTCTTCGCACACGAGGTATTTCATTCTTCTCCGCCTCAACCTTCAACATTATATCATTTTCAACCTTGTATGGGCATTGGACGAGTATGAAAAGGCGAAGTGTTTTAACATTAATTATTAAGATAATTAACAAAAATTCGTGTGTCCGCGTTGTTCTATACCGATCGAAGACATTTTGTAGAATTACAGCAAATTAACATCGTGTGAACTCTAGTGGCCCTCGGTAGCTTGGAATGTTTCTACGAGTGTACAAATCTCTAAAAGTAAGTTGGAAGAAGTTTCAGCAGAAAACCGAGTGAAGGCTACAATTTTGATTGTTACAATTACTCTAAGTATTTCGTAGATTAAATCAAATTCCCTCGTGTCTCGAAATTAATCAACAACGATTTTTTGGAAGTCTTTTCATTTGTCAGGAGCGGTAACATTAGCAAAATCTGTATCGACGGACGATACGCATTAAGTCGTTCTTATATTTTTAGTCCCTTACAGGTATTAGTTAAACTTATTCAAAGAGTGACCTACCAAGTAACTTGTAAAAAAGTAGTAAAATTATAAGTAGATCGTTGGATCCTTTTCAGCAGAACGAAGCCGTACGGTGAGATAATGTTTCGACAATCTAATCGACAAGATATGATTTTTCAATTTTTATTTCTCCGTTGTTCTTTATGTCAAACCATGGTAAATTTCAAATCTTTCGTAATCGTTGTATTAAACCATCTCACCATACGCTCGCATCCTTGAATTTCTTAAAAAGTCTACGAATAAATTAAAACGTATAAATTCGAAATAAAGGACGAAACGACTTCTTACTTAACTATCATTAGACCATAAACTGAAAAGGATCGAGTTAACGTAACGCGCCTGTTAATCACGAGAAAGATAAACGTTTGATTGTTTCGTAAACAGCTTTGTTCTTCTTCTTCTTCTTCGTCTTCGTTTTTTTCTTGTGCGAACGAACGAGAATTTACTCGTTGGGGGTTTGCTGTTGTTGTTGTTCCTCTGTTTCTGGTTTTGTGTACAAAATTTCTGCGTATTCCGTTTTATCCTCGTTCAGACGACGAGGAGCAGCACACTGTTGCTGCTGCGTCAAATCCAATTCGGCGTACACTATTCCTCCTTCACCCGCGGCAGGATTCGCTTTGTTTTCTTGTCCAGTTGGCACGGATGTCTGAAGCTGCGGGGAATTGATCGAATTTTATTTCAAATTTACAGTAATCTCGGTATTTTCTTATTAAAAATTTCTGACGTTTTAGAAATTTTCCAAGGAGATAAAAATGTAAGAGGAAGAATTATGGTTTCGGAAATTTTCCAAATGAGATTAAAAGTGTAAGAGGAAAAATGACGACCCCTAAAATTATCCCATGAGATTAGAGATGTGAGAAGAAACATGATGGTTTCGAAAATTTTTCAGTGATATTAAAAATCTAAGAGGAAAAATTACGATTTCTGAAACTTTCCAAAAAAATTAAAAATTTACTTTTTCGCTAAAAATAATTCTTCGTTTATTACAAATTTTTTATTAAAACTTTCTTTCGATAAAATTCCTCCGAAGTTTCTAAAACTTTCCAGTGCGATGAAAAATGCAAGAAGAAAAATTGACTTCCTCGCAACAAGAAACAAACTATCCAATAACTATAATTTATTTTAAGCGGTTTCTATTGGTACTTAACGCTGTTGGAACGTCGACGACTCGATCGAACCGATTCAATTAAACGAATTATCCGCAAAATTCCAAAGTGACTGAAACATTTCAGTTATCCGCGGAACGCGTAAAACAAACGACACTTCTCGGAAGAATTATTATATTACAGCGTCACGATTAAATGAATGCCTTACTTGCGAATAGGATAATTACCTTCTCGTCGTCAACAGTAACGATAGTCCTCACGGTGTCCGTGTCCGCTCCAGACACTTTGTCCTTGTTACGTTTGAAGAAACGAGACAGACTGATCTTCGATTTCCGTTCTCCCCGTGATCCATCCACTTCCGTTCTCGAGTAGCGGCCGGCGCTTTCCGTATCACTTCTAATCAACACAGTTCGTTCTTCTTAAGATTTTCGTTTCATTTTCTCACCTTCATTTTGCTCGACATTTTTTCTCGTTTTTTTTTTTTTAAGCTACAGGACTACAGCAATTGTTCAGAACGATACAAATGTCACGGTACAGAACAAAGTACGTGTATTCGAAATGATTCTACATGCAGCAAAATATTTCCACTCATTTAGAATTCGACTGTGTTTTTATTTAGTTACAGAAAAAAAGAAAATGGTTCTAATTAAAATGCATGTGTAACACATGTAACGAACTAGTTTAAATATTCTTGGAGAAAAAAAAAAAGCAACACGGAAGACGCGCAATAGAAAAATAATGTAATTGAAACGGTTATGTATGTTACTGATTTATGACCGTAAATGAGTCGGTAACAAACGGTATGAATATTTTAAAAAATGCAATTAGATCGACGCGACGGAGAGAAAAAGCATTGGGAAATAAGGCGAAAAAGGAAGCGTTATGTGTTTAATAACTCACATTGATTGCGGCAAAACTATATTTTCCCGCACGCGAGCTGATTTATGAAGCGTTAATTGCTGAAAGGCAATAATATCTGCCTGCGTGTGAATAAGTATGAGTTTTCAGGGAAGAGTATTGGGAAAGTTTCGCGACAAGTGTGAAAAATTGATCTTGCATTTTTGCCAGAAGCAACGCGTAAAATATAAATGAAATATCGTCCATTGTAATTTACAATAGCTGACTGGAGATTACACGTGCAAATCCTTATTTATCAGAGAAAAAAAAAAATGAATTAAACATCGTCACGTTCCTCCAGAAATTTTGTAAGAAGTCACGCAATTCGTAGGATAGTTGATGTCCTGTAAAAACTTAGTAGACTAATTGTGCGCTCAAGGTTAACCTGTTCAGCTTCAACCGCTATAAAAAAATCGTTTTATCGCATGCATAAAATTTTGTGGAAACATTTTGCGTTGGATTTGCCAGGTTTTATTAATATGTAATCCCATTAAGAGATGAAAGTTGACGTTAGCTTAACCATTTCGATACGGCTACGTCGTTCGCGAGTATGCTTCCGCTCTACGGATACTCTCGTCGCGAATAAGGTCCGACTGTGCGGGTCAGTTACAACGCGAACGTATATTTTATCGCGGAGTAGATACAGGACGGGATATTACAATGTAACGTAATTTTAAAAATTGTTTAAGAATTTAATTCTGTATGAAAAATTTTGAAAACACGGGTGACTATAGTCACCGATAGACGTTGGGTGACTATAGTCACCCGTAGTATCGAAAGGGTTAATCGTGCAAACGTCGGAACAGAGTAACGCTGAATTGGCATGAATTACGTGTAATTTGCAAAGGTGATTAATAAGCGCGTGCGTAGATAACGATGAAAAACGGAATACGATCGAGGAAATTACAATTAAGCAAGGAAAGAGAGACGTAGAAATGGGGCGATAATAAGCGACAATTATAAGTAAAGCGATACGATTTCCTTGAGAAATCGATATATCCTTTGGAATTAACATTAGTTCAAATTACACTCCAGTTTCAGACATGTTCAAGCGGGATACTGAATTGCAGACAACACAGAAAAAGCTGATCGAATTCACAATGTATAAACGACCTTATACCTTTTTCCCAATGTACTCATTACACACCGCTGAACAAGTCTTTTTCTGGACACCGTTCGCGTTCGTAGTCTCGAGCGAAGGCAATTACAAACTTCACTTAGGAGTGTTATTATCGTCATAAGCGGTACGTAATTGTTATCGCATTAAGCTTGCGTTACACACACGTGAAGCCGATACATAGTATCTCGGTATTTTCCATAAAACGATGATTCGACGATCAACATTTGACGCAAGCTAGACGTTCTCTGTCTTTTTCTTTCTTTTTTTTTTTCCAGCGAGAACAAAGAAAATGTAGGAAAAAAGGCTTGCCTTTGCCTATCGTCTTCGTCTGCGGTTTTCGATTTTGTGTCATAACGAAGTAGATTAACACTTGCTGCCGCATCCGCGAAGTCACCGACTCTGTACGATTGCCTGGCAATATGGTAAATACCGATAGATAAATGAATCCCAATAGGAATCCTACTCGTTCCCTTTTTCCCCTGGAGTTTTTAGTTATTAAAAAAAAAAAAAAAGAGGAAATCATGTAAATCTGACTGTTGAAAAGTGTTTCGACCTTTTCGTTCGAGATGTGTAATCTTTGTTATCTTCTTCGATCGCGAAGGGTTCATTTTTTCCAACGAAAAGTCGTCAATTGTCAGGCGAAACGGTCGAGTTACTCTCGCTACGAAGCACCAGCAGGATAAAAGAATATTAGTTACGAAAATTTGGTGCAAAATATTGGCATACCAGAGGGGTGCAGTGGTTCTACTGAAAGGGGAGAGTCCATACTACGGAAACCTGTAGAAAAGAAGATACTCACGACTCCCCGAGGTTCCTCGACGACGAGTTAGCTGAAAATAATCGAAAAGAAACACAGGTTTCGTTTAATTGCAACGTTATCGTTCCAAGGAACGGAATAATTCCTATGTTCCGTCCAGTTGCGAAGAATTACAGATGGACGGATTCGGTATAATGAGAAAGCTTCTCGAGTTGACATTGTACGGTGACGTACAAATGAAATAAACGCAATTGAATGTACGGTACACGTATTTGGAAAACACGTGTCGGAAAATCGAGCTCGGACGTTTCAATTTGATCACGATCAAATGAAACGAATTTCAATTCGGAACCGCAAATTCTTTTTGGTCTTTTTTTTTTTTTTCGTCGGTTGTATAGAAATGAACGGTGACGGGATGGCATAGTTTTTCTCGTGTACGTTCGTGTGTGTATTTAAAACAAATGTTTTATTTCAAAAATCATATAATACCTAAGTATAATATCATAGCGATGAATGAACTTACAATTAATTACATACAGCTCTTCTATATATTAATTTCATTTGAATTCTTAATTAGATTTACTCTTGCCTATTGCGTTGTATCTACAAGTACAGATACAAAATGTTCATGTTCTTCTTCGTAATCGTTTTTTCCCTTATATGGTCGCAGTGTGTCTGTGTGTATGCTGGGTCGCGAGTGTTCTGTGTGTGTTTGTACGTTGTGTATCTGTGTGTGTATACGGTATAACACATGTGTACAATCGTTATTCCATTTATCGACCGTATAACATTGAAAACTTCGTTTCTCCAGCATTTTTCCTCTTTTTCGTTTTTTTGTTCGTTTTGTTTAAACAGCGATTTTAATTGTTTTTTTTCTTTTTTTTCTTTTCTCTAAAGTTTAACGTTTAAAGTAGCGATCTCTGAAGTATTCTTAAAGTGTTTCCTGTCGTCGGTGATGCTCTGTTTGCAGTATATTTTGGGCCCTCGTTACAAGAAAAAAAACGAAAAATTGAAATCTAGAGATAGAAATGAAACGTCGGTGCCTGAACAACGGACCAATGAGAAAACCTGACGTTTTTCTAATCATTGAATTTTCACAACAATGTGTGTGTCCTCTGTGTGTGTGATGTGGTTGTGTCTAACCTGATTGATCGACATTCTAAAAATGTTTCAGAGAACACCATTCTCAGGTATTCGCGATCGTCATCTATATACTCCATTGTATGGCCAACGATCATGCTTTTCTCGTAATATTACAGTAAAATCTTTTTCTTCCTCTGTTAATTCGTCGTTAAGTTTTACAAATCTCTCAACTTTACTCCACGTCTCGGCGACGTAAACGGAAAATTCGCCCAATCCACCGATACGAAAGGAAAAAGAAAAAGAAAAAAAACAAAATAGATCAATCCAGTATAAATTTTCGTGCTCTCGCGTGCAATATCCCCTATATTATATATATTCATACACGTCCGTATGTATACAAATGTATAATAATCGTAGCATGATCATCGTTGATATTAAATAATTAACCGTTTACAAATTAATGAACCATAGAAATGAATTACGAAATAAGAGTGTCTTAAAATTGTTAAAAATGTACCGCAAGGAATTTTTGTACATCAACGTATATCCGCGCGTAATCTCTCTCTCTCTCTCTCTCTACCTCTTTCTTTTTCACCCTTTCTTTCGCGTTCATCGATTATCGTTTCGACGTGCTTTCATTGTCGTGTAGTCGCGCTGTACGCGGGCTGAACAGGTCGAACACAGGTTGTGTAATACCACAGACGGCAACAAATTGCTCGTCCGTCCCTCTTTTTCTTTTTACTATTTCCTACCCTTCTTCGTTTTTACAGATTTCTTTTAAAACTTGTCTCTCGTAGGATCGAGAAGGGATGCGAGCGGAACGGAAAAATCCGCCGTGTCCCGAGTAGTTTGTTGCAAAAGGATCCTGGGGTTTTCTCGGTGTACACTTTGGCAGTGATCTTTTTTTAAATCTTTCACGAACTTGTTTTGTGCTGATTTTTCAATCGTCGTAATTTTAGCGTAACTCGTTGCGGTTACAATCGCAGGACGACCATCTCCAATTGAACCAGGCGATATTGTTCTCACGTCGTACCGAGCTTACGGTGTGTCTTAAAAATATACCTCACAACGAGAGGGTTGAAAGAGCTGAAACGTTTTATGCGTCTTGTAAGATGGTCTTAACGAGAGAAAGTAAAATTCTCGGACCTTTTTAAAAGCTCTGAAGAGCTGATACTACTTTTAAAGGTATATCATACTTTATAGCACCGGGGTTATCGTTCTAGGCTATTCGTAGTAAAATTAGCCATGAGATATCCTGAAGTTTACGATAGAAGAATTTTTCTTTTCTCCACCTTTTTCTTTCCGGAGATAATCGTCCCCTTCCTGCAACGTTTCTAATAAAAAAAATGAACACGGTGTAGAGAAAACAACGGCAGAATGAATTTTCTGCGTTCCACGAGGACATGAACACTCTGTAAAACGCTTCGAAATCGGGCTACGTTGTACGTATAAAAAATTCGGGCGGCCCTGGATTCGTTGATTAATCATCATCGAATCGTCGTCCCATTCGTCTATTACAGGTGTGTTAAGTAGACGCGATTTTTCCTTCCTCCGAGTTAGGCTCTATTACATACACTAATACGTTTAATCGTTCGTACACATAATATATACCACCACAACGGTTACATGTGAATCGCTGTGAACACGGGAACGTGCGAATTTTGTTCCGGCAGGTGAGAGAGAGGTAGGATAGTCTTCGAAGTAAATTGGCAGCAGAAACTTCTTTGTACAATAACTAACTTAAATAAGCGGGTGTTTCGTGGAATGCTAATTAAGCGAAACGATCGAGACAAAATGTGAGAAAGAATTTTTCAAAAAAATGCTATTTCGTTCGTTTGATTTTTCTTTCAAATTTATCCTCAATCAACACTGCGGACGAAATTCGTACGAACACGCGTCGACAAACGGCACATTTGACATACGAATGCGGCTCGGCCTGTTTAAACGGCACAAACAACGCCTCGACATCGCGAACACGATACAAAGTACTTAATTGGCAACGTACATCCACGTGTAATCGATTTACTCCATAAATATCCAACGTTCCAGTTTCTTTCTTCTAAACTGTGTCGATCAGTCGTGTGTTCGTTAATTGACGCGACTGAACGATCGATCGATTTTCCTATCATTCTCGTTCGTTCGTTCGTCTCTCTTAAAACGTCACGCTCTTAAGTTCGTAATATAACCTTCTATTACTCTGCCCGATAATAGTCTTCCTCTCGAAAAATTCACGGATAACGACAGGTCGCTCGGCAATTGGAGTGCAAGTGGATAAATAAGTATTCAGTTTAATATTTACGAGTTGCATGCCAAGTGCCCTCGACACAGAATATATAATATATATTCGTTACTATTATATTCAATCTCGTACCGTAATATTTATAAATTATTTATATATATATTTATTTATTTTATA